AATCCCAGCACTCGGGAGGCAGAGGCGGGTGGATCTCTGTGAGTTGGAGGCCAGCCTGGTCTACAGAGTGAGTTCCAGGACAGCCAGGGCTACACAGTGAAACCCTGTCCCAAAAAACAAACAAACAAAAAACCCAACTGCCTGCTTGTGGTACCTGTGCATACACTTATAGAAGTGGCAATAGTCTCTTAGACTAGCAGTATATTTATCTCTGCTGAATCAAGGATCCAGTAGAGTTCAGAGCTGCAGTTCCAAAGACAGAAAGCTCTGGTAACTTAGCTTGTGACACATTCCATTAGGGACACAAGTTCAGAATCATGGGCTCGGGCAAGGCTAGGGCCATGGGCAAGGCTAGGGCCATCTTTCATAGTGATGAGATAGGGAATAAACTAGGAGAAGGGAGGTCAAGGGGTTAGCAGGAATGTAGCCATCACTCTCTTGTTACTTATTTACTTTTGAGAAATGGCTACATTCTTCCAGCACCATGGAAACTTCTTCCTTGGGGTGTGATTCCTGTCAATCAAAAGATGACTCCAAGACTGCCCATGTGCTACTTGCCCTCCTTGAATGCCACATACTGATCCTTTCGTCTCTGCAAAACCAGTTTCCATCTTGCCACTGGGTCACCTCCCATGGAAGCCAGCAATGGAGGCGCCCAGGAAGGAAGCCTAGTTTGCTGGCTCAGCTCCAGGCACCAGGCCAAGTGCTATCAGGCTGGGGAACCATCAACCTGCAAGGGTAGCAGGAGGGACAGGCCCAGAGCCTCCCCTCATAGCCTGCTGCATCTAGACAATTCTCAGAGCTAGCCTGGCAGCCCAGCCCAGGGCCCAAGCAGAGGGGCACAAGAGGCCAATTTACCTTGTCCTCATTTCTAAAATACGCATGGATATGCCAGACAGGAGGGAATGGATTCACACATTCCACCTTCCTTAAAAACCAACTTCAAAATACTGAGAAATCAACTCTCAAGTCACCATCCTCATCTACCAAAAGGCTGAGCGCTAGGAACATAACTCAGTCAAGTGCATGTTTGCTACACAAGCAGGAGGACCTAGTTTACTCTGCAGGACTCAGGTAAAAAGCAGGGCATGGGAGACAGAGACAGAATCCCTGGGGCTCATTGGCCAGCTGGCCTAGCTGAATAGGTGAACCATCAGGTAGTCAGAGATTCTGTCTCAAAAAACAAGGTAGATAGCTTCAGAGAAACACCCTAGATATATATGGCATGCCCAGTGTCGCACACGCATGCGTGCGTGCACACACAAAGATAAATAAAAAGTAAAAAATGGTTAAAAAAAAAAAAAGCTGAGTTTTAAGTAAGAGAGAAAGAAAAGCTGTTCATGTCCCAGATCCAGAAGCCAAGCATCGGGCCAAATTCACACCCAACAAAAAGGAGAATTCCAGAAGGATCTAGGAGGGGTCTTGAGCAGAGAGAGACAGGTAAGAGCACTAGGAAAGCCTGAGGCCTACAGGAGGGGTGTCTGGGAGGCAGCTGTTGACTAAGAGGCAGGCAAGGTTCAGAGCTATCTGGCTCCAGGGTCTTAAAAAGCCAGTCTCTAGAATCCAGGCCAAGGGGCTGTGGAGCTGGCTGACTGACAGCATCATTCCTGCTCAGGCCCACCTACTTCAAAGAGAGCTGGTAGAGGCAAGCAGATGCCACAGAAGCAAGATTCACTGCCACAGGGGCACCTAGCACCTCTGCAAGGGTCTGTCTGGAACTAAGACAATGGCAGCACTTGAAACCCCAGAACTCACCAATGTGCTCAGATCCTGCTGGGTGTGGCAAGGTGTTGGGGTTGGGGACAGGAAGCAGATGCAACCAATTCCTGAAAATTCAGAGTTCTGGGTTTGTTGGATTGTTTCCCATGACAGCTGTAGCGTATACAGGTGATCCCTTCTCAATCAAAAACCTTTTATCTCTCAAAGAAAGGCTTTTCCAGAACTTAACCGCTGAAAGAACAAACCTTCCAGAGAAGGAAGGGAGCTGCCAGCCCGATGAAAGCATCTAGAAAAGCATGCCTTAATGTTCTCGAGAAAACTCACAAGGCTCAGGGAACATCCTCAGGGGCCTGTTCGAACCATTGATCCCACATTATGCTTCACCCTGCCAGAGCAGCACCCTGCTGCTGACATGGCGGGACTTGACCTGGGCCTGGGAGCTCCAAGTCCTCTTCTTTGCTGCTGCAGAATAGCAGTGAAGGAATTAAGGCAACAGTGGAGTCAAGGTAGGAGGTTGGCAGCCTTATACAAAATTAAGTTCCCTGCGCATCTCCACTGAGATCAGTTCACGAGACAGGGATTTTGTTTTTGTTTTTGTTTTTTGAGACAGGGTTTTTCTGTGGCTTTGGAGACTGTCCTGGAACTAGCTCTTGTAGACCAGGCTGGTCTCGAACTCACAGAGATCCGCTTGCCTCTGCCTCCCAAGTGTTGGGACTAAAGGCGTGTGCCACCACCTCCCGCTTGAGGCAGGGATTTTAATGGAGCTGGTGAAGGCTACTGAGGGGAGAAGGGAGTTTAAGCATCCATATCCAGGATGCCTCTAGTTTCTGTGACAGCCTAGAAAAATACTTATTCATTTGATTCCCGAAATAGCTAAAATATTGACAGTCGATTCTTTGCTTCAACACTAAAAGCAGAGGCCAGGATCTCTACAGGGGACCAGGTTAAATCAGGAAAACAAGAAGGGATCTAAGTTCTGCCCAGACCATCCAGCTTTACGGAGATCAGGGTAAACACATGTACACACACATAGGTGTCATGTGGCTGCACCCGTCCTATGCACACAGGCAAAGGAGCCCCTACTGCATCTACAGTCACCAAGACCGATGGTCACTAGTCTGTAAATAGGGCCCCATTTGTTCCCAAGAGACATAAAAATGAATAGATGATACTAAAAATAATGAGTGTAGATGACAGTAAAAAAAAAAAATGACTAGACAGTGTTACTATGAGGACCACAGAATTTTATTGGCAATGGAGGACACGATTCAAGGAAACAGGCAGCATCCTTTGGGGTAGTAGAAAGGGCTATAGAGCCCTGTTTTGTTTTTTTGTTTTGGGGGGCTCAAAATTGGGGTCACCTATTTGTCAAATCACCTAGCTGGGAGTTACCCTACATATACATTGGATCTCTGTCTTTCAGCTCTGTGGCCAGACACTAGCTTCCTACATGAATGATCTCCTGGTGCAAGGATGAGACCATTGACCGACTTCAATTTGGTGCCAACCTCTCATTCAGTCTAGTGGAATTTATGGTCCCTTGTGCTGTTAAACCTCACACTACTGCAGGCAAAAAGAAACATTCACCCTGGCTGATGTCCTACAGACCCCACCTAAGTAAGTCTCCAGGCTGCTTATCCCTCTGCCACCTGGGCTGATGCCATTCAGAGACTTGAGGTATGTATATTCTGCCCATTTTGCACTGCTGAGATTCAGGCTGGGTGCTACTGAAGGGTATGTCGATAACTAGCTCAGCACAGTGTCATTTGGTGCAAAGGTTGGGGAATGAGTGTAGGTCAGAGGTCAACATTAGGTGCTGTCCCTCAAGATGCTGTCAACCTTGTTTTTGGGGACAGGATCTCTCAGTTGTCTGGAACATGACAAACAGGCTAGGTTGGTTGGCCAATGATCCCCAGGGATCTGCCTATATCTGCTTCTCAGCACAGGAATCACAAGTATGTGCCACTGCTCCATGGCTGCTAGAGATCCTCATGACAGTTCTTTACTGATGGAATCATCTCCCCAGCCCCTTTTTGCTTTAAACCACACCAGTCCACAAATGTAGAAATAGGGCAGTCTGGCACCAGATGAGAAACTAGAGTAAAAAGAAAAGTAGTCACATCTCTCCTTGTCAGTGACGCTGGCTCCAATGTGGCTTGGCCTCCTGATATACTCAGGGACAGTGACAGCCAATCTCTGGCATTTGTTAAGTACTGACGGGGCTGCTTCCTCTTAGATTTATTTACCTGAGACATTGCCAAAGAGGAACTGCTTGCCTGCACATCACCCAGATCTGAACACAAACTCTGTCCACTTGTCTTTAAGGAGATGCATATTTTCACAATGAAATGTTTCAGCTCCAGGAATATATTTTAAGACTTATATTTTCATCTCCCACCACACCCTTGTTTTTCCTGGCAAGGCACTCAGAGTTTCAAGCGGGATGGAGAGCAGAAGGCAGTCAAGTGGCTTTGTAACCACAAGCGCTCTGTAGTAACAAATATCGATGAATACCTGGCCTGAGAAATCTGACTAAAATCTCATTCTTAACTGGTATTCCTTCCACTCAGCATAACTCCCCCCCTGGGGGGGGCACGCCTAGCCCCTCCTCTCTGCCTCCTAGAAAACTGACTCCACCCAAAAGACTTTCACAACTCTTGACTGCTACTGATTTTGTCCTTCAAAGCAAAGTTGAGTCTCTGAGGTCCAAGTACATACTCTCGTGGCACAAAGGGCTTCAGAGAAACCATCTCCAAGTAAGTAAAACACCAGGTTTCTAAGCAGCGCAGACTCCGGAGCCTTTGTGCCTCAGAGCAGGGTCAGGCTGGAGCAATTTCAGTAGTTTCTCTCTTCCCCCAGTGTCTAGAGTCCAGGCTCGCTGGAGTTATCTCAACTTCTCCGGTGTTTGGATGGGAACCCGGACTCACATGTCACACCCAAACACAACCCCCATTGTGGTCTCCTGGGAACCTATCGCAGTGCAGCAATGCCTGGCAGTCCCACCTCCCCCACTGAGGTCCTCATAACATAACATTCGCCGGTTCCTGAGTGCCTGGTGTTAAGGACCGGTATTATTCCTGTTTCACACCCGGAAAGCTGAGGCTCTAAGTCGTAAACTCATCGAGGGCCAGTCTAAGGGGCCAGAGCCTTATTAAAACCCAGGTTCGCGTAATTTCCTCTCTACTGTTTCCACTTTGTCTTTAAAGGTCCCTTCTCCCAGAGGTTTCTGAACTCCCCCTCGCCGCCCACTCAGCCCAGGGAGCCAGTCCTGCCGCACCCACCTCGTCGCCGAAGCGCACCAGCT